GGATGGTGTGTGGTGTGTGGTGTGTGGGTGGTGCTGGATTGGAGATTGTGGGGCTCTTAAAACGAAGAGCCCTCTGCACCTCCTGCTATGTAGGTCAAGCATCCCCCTGCCAGTGTATCGCCGTTTCTGGGACGAGTTTGAGTTTGAGTTTGAGTTCGAGTTTGGGTTTGGGTTTGGGCTTTGGCTTGTGCTTTTAAATGCACCCTCCAGCCGCTAATCCACTTTCACACCATTGCCGCGACAATCATCGAAATGGGTGGCATTCGCAGTGGCAGACAAGCCAAACATATCAAATAGACACAATTACGCACACACTTGGCTGCCGAATTGGGAAAATTGGGTAAAAGTCTGGGCTCAGCTCACGTACGTAAAACCCCATTGCCGTGTGACCTCTAACCTTAGCACCTGGAATCAAAAATTGGCAAGTTGTCAAGGCGGGAATTGATCCATTACCCGGCTGCTTAACAGGCTCTATACACCGAGAGAAAGTATTTGAATAATTCGTTAAACTAAAAGAAAATATCAACTTATGTTAGTCCTTTTTTCTCAAAGTTGTAATGATAGGGTTTGTAAAAAATATATTCTATAAATTATACAGCGTTGACAGATTTTTCAATTATTTTTAAAACAAATACTTTAGAAATTGTTTTATTCTGTAGGTTTTTGTGTTGTTTTAAAAATTTACAGTGTTTATATTTCAATAATTTTTTGGTAAATTTATTTACCTTGTTTTTTATGTTTTTTTATTTATTAATTTTTTTTTAATCTTTTCATAATTAGTTTAAACCGTTATATACTTCCTAATCATCCCGTTTAGCAACTCGAGCTTACCCTTCATTAAAAGCTCATTGAAAATGTGATAAACATTGAGTTTATTTTTGGGCAAATGTATTTCGTTGCCACTTCAATTATTCATGTTGTTCTATTGTGACCCATTTTTATTTTTTTACTGTGTAGGTCACCCACAGCCCCGCCCCTTTGGCCCGCTCTATCCATATGCAAACAACGGCAGCACAGCATGCACAAGGAATAAAGTGGCAACAACGACAAGTTTCGAGTGTTGGCCTCGTGTTGACTTTTGTGAAAGGTGTGACAATATTTACAATGTCTTGTTAATTGAATTTAATGCGTCCTCTGTGTGTGTGTGTGCGTGGGTGTGGGTGTCTCTATATTCGCGTATCGCAGTATATGTGTGTGTGTGTGTGTTTTTTTTTTTTGTGTCGATCCGCCGAGTGTTTGGCTAGGCAACAAAAGTTAATTCAAATTATTAATGGGCGATTTGCGAACACTTTGCGCTTGAATGCTGACAATGAGAACTCGTTGTCATCGCATCATGTGGTTGATTTGGCCCAGCAACTTACCCGCCATTCCCTTCTTCCCGCAAGGAAGAGCGGTTTAAGCCGGGCTTACTGGCGAAACCAGTGGGAAATGCGTCCTTAACTCCTGGCGCGCCAAAATAACACGCTCCCCACACAAAGACTTATTTTTTACTTGAACGCAAATAGCGTTACAGAGCGTCTCGTTCAACTAAAGCAATTCAAACTGATTGAACGTAAATTGAAAGGCTCGTACTATAAAGAACCTGTATTTGCAGCAATACTGGGAAGTTGCATCCAGGGGGCGCTATTACGCAAAATGTAGAAGTTACTACATTTCACTTTACATTTTTGCTATAAACACTAGTGAATACAAAAATTTGGAATTTGTTCAAAATACATTTGGCCCAGACTTTTCAAACAAAAATTCTAACTTTCCTCCAACAATTTTAGTATTTTAGGCCACAATAATATAAATTTCGCAAAAAATCCCAAAAAACACATTAAAAACTTGGTTTTGGTGTCGAACCCCTGGGAAACAATGGTCAAATGTTGGAATGTCATACACCGTTGAATTCGTAATAAAATTTCCAATCGAATGGCATTCACAGCTAAAATTTTTTCAGATTTTCAAATTTCTGCAAAAAATGATGATGTACCCCCTTACAAAAAAGTCAGAAATTTGGACATAAATAAATTTAAAAAAAAACGTTTTTCAAAATTCAGTTTTTGTGTCAAAACTAAATTAATTGTTTTCAATCGGTCAGGGATGGATCATATAGGTTACCAGCTGTTCAAAATAGCAACTCTTTTGACTATGGGTCTTATTTTGGCAAAGTTACAACAAAAAGACTCTTCAGAAATAATATCGTTTGAAAAATCGCCAAAAATCCCAAAAAACACATTAAAAACTTGGTTTTTGTGTCAAAACTCTGGGAAATAATGGTCAAAATGTGGAATGTCATACACCGTTGAATTCGTAATAAAATTTCCAATCGAATGGCTTTCTCAGCTAAAATTTTTTCAGATTTTCAAATTTCTGCAAAAAATGATGATGTACCCCCTTACAAAAAAGTCAGAAATTTGGACATAAATAAATTTAAAAAAAAACGTTTTTCAAAATTCAGTTTGTGTGTCAAAACTAAATTAATTGTTTTCAATCGATCAGGGATGGATGGTATAGGTTACCAGCTGTTCAAAATAGCAACTCTTTTGACTATGGGTCTTATTTTGGCAAAGTTACAACAAAAAGACTCTTCAGAAATAATATTGTTTGAAAAATCGCCAAAAATCCCAAAAAACACATTAAAAACTTGGTTTTTGTGTCAAAACTCTGGGAAATAATGGTCAAAATGTGGAATGTCATACACCGTTGAATTCGTAATAAAATTTCCAATCGAATGGCTTTCTCAGCTAAAATTTTTTCAGATTTTCAAATTTCTGCAAAAAATGATGATGTACCCCCTTACAAAAAAGTCAGAAATTTGGACATAAATAAATTATTCAAAAAACGTTTTTCAAAATTCAGTTTTTGTGTCAAAACCAAATTAATTGTTTTCAATCGATCAGGGATGGATGGTATAGGTTACCAGCTGTTCAAAATAGCAACTCTTTTGACTATGGGTCTTATTTTGGCAAAGTTACAACAAAAAGACCCTTCGGAAATAATTTTGTTTGAAAATCGCCAAAAATCCCGAAAAAGCACTTCAAAAACTTGGTTTTTGTGTCAAAACCCTGGTAAATAATGGTCAAAATGTGGAATGTCATACATCGTTGAATTCGTAATAAAATTTCCAATCGATTGGCATTCACAGCTAAAATTTGTTCAGATTTTCAAATTTCTGCAAAAAATGATGATGTACCCCCTTACAAAAAAGTCAGAAATCGGTTGTTTTGTGAAAAAGAATATTTTATGTCTGTGCGCTTTATATTGGCCAAGTTACTGCAAAAAGACCCTTTAAAAATGTTTTTTTCTTGAAAAATCTACAAAAAGCAGAAAAAACCTTAAGTGAGTTAGCTATTTGTTTTTTTTTATATTTTCCTGAGTTTCTTTTTGTTGTTGTAATAAAGCGCAGTATACATATATGTATTTAAATTAGTAAACGTTTTATGTAGTTTACTTTTACTGACGATTAAACGACTGTTGCATACTTTTGGGGACTTGTGTTTATACATGACATCTGTGATGTAGCGACACATGCTGACTGACAAAAGCTCGTTGCATGTAAAAAGGTAAACTATAATAGACAGCTTCCGCCTAGTGGCCGCCAGGCGGCGTGCGACTGTATGTCGCCACGCGTCGTATGAGTAATGCACTGAATTAATAAGCGGGGGCATGCGATTGCAGTGCGACCTACGGCAACGACAGCCACAGTTAGCCAGTTAGCCAACCAGACAATGTGGCTATGTGGCTATAATTGTTAATTGTTAATTAATCTGACCGCGGACTGCATTCATCGAATGCCGCCGGCATGAATAACGCGATAAGGTGCGCGCCCTCGTCGAAGAATGCGGGCAGCGGACGTGCTGATTCCTCCGTGGAGTGCAAACGGAAACCAATCCAATCCTACGCCTCTTGGCAAGTTAAAGTAGCACCACTCGATTCGAAAGCAAAGAAAATCGCGTTCATTTGGGTTAAACGCACTCAATCGGGCAAGCGGACGCCGAGTGTCACAAGTTGCGAGCGAATTGGCCCATAAAGGCGCCGATATGGCCAATATAAATGCCCGATAGGCAGCTTCCGATCGGAAGTGTCGAGAGCTCTCGTGAAATGGCTTGACTATCAATCTACAATCGTTGGGAATAAGGCTTTTGGCCAGCGAAGAGGTATCAATGATAATACCTCTAACCGAGCCAAAATCAATCAAGGAAAACCTAATAATAATCGGAAGTGCGATCTACTTGCTGAACATTGTAACCTTTTTATACCCTTTTTATTAGGAATATATATTTTTGATCAGTTCTACAGTTTTAAAAACCGCTTATAAAAACTTGCACAATAAATTTTTTTTATCTAACACAGTTAGTATAGAATAGATATATTTTATAAATAAAAATGAACACTGTTAAAAAAAAAAAACTTTGTATATCCAAATATTTTGTATTCAATATAAATATTTTCCCCTCGATTTTCATTCATTTAGGTTTTTAGGTATTTTAAATATTACACAAAATTTGAATTTTTCATTTGACTATTTTAAACATATTTAAGTTAAATAAAATGCATTTAAATCAAATGGGAACTATTTTAAATCTAATATTTTCCACAATAATTTACATTTTTAATGTAAAATCATATAATTTATTATGCTTTGTATTTAATATTATATTTTATATTTTATATCAATATTTAATACACAATTTTAAATTCAATTCAACATTTTCAGCAATGCGTCGTTAATTTGAAAAAATATCGTCTGTATACATACACCTATTTGAAATATCTAAAAGAGAGTCAATTTTTGGAGGGCCCCATTAAGTAATAAATGAGTAGATAATGAAAATACTACACCGATAAGCTGCTTTCGATCGGAAGCATGTACAAGCATACCCCGGCAACATGAACAAGTGACGACATGTCCGATTTTGTCAACTTATATTTCACAATATTATAAAATCCCTCCGTTACGCCCACAAAATTAATATCCAGTTCTGTTTGTCTTTTCTTTTGTTTATTTTGCACATACTTACAAACTAAGCACAAGAATGTCTGTACAATACTTCGCTTCGTTTTCATTCACAATCGTTCGTTTTTCTTCACATTCACTAAGAACTATTCAAAAAAAGTACTTAAAATAAATCACAGTAGATTTAAGCATTTTTTTGTTTGTGTCTGGGTTTTTTGTTGGCTTTTTCTTGGCGCACTTCCGTCGCCGCTCACAAATAAATATTTTGTTTATATAAATACAATATGGATAAAAATAAATAAATAAATTACTACACATAGAGGGGGTGGACAAAAAAATAAATAGGGCATACATACATGCTAAATGGGAAATAAATAGTCGAGATGGGAAATGGTTTTAGTTTGGCAACTGGAATGGAAGGCGCTCTAATACTCAATACTAAATACTCAATAAATAAATAAATACTATAGTACGTGTCTAAATGGCATTCGACAAAAATTCTTCGTTCTCGCCCGTTCAATTAGTCCGGGTGGTCCTCTATTTGGCTTAGAAGCTGGAAAAGCTGTGGAGCTCGGAAGCTGATAATACTGGAAGGGCGTGATCTTCATGTGTTTGGCTGGCTCAGCACTCAGCATTCAGCGGACCCCGAATTGACACCGGCCCCATTGGAGGCGGAGCTGGAGCTGGAGCTGGAGCCCAGGTCGAGCATTTCTGAGCTACCCGCCCGCAGGCCGCTCGCTGACGCTCCTCCGTGGCCCGCTCCTGCCGCTCCCGCCGCCATCGCCAAATGGCGCCGCTCACCGCTGTTCCGCTTGGGCCGCCGGAGCGCCCGGTGCAGGGTCTTCCACACATTGTCCAGATACTGGAAGTACAGCTCCTTGCTGACCTTCAGGTCCCGCTGGTCCGCCTCCGCCGAACCGTTGGCCGGCGTGTGGAAGTTTAGCCGCTCCTCCATCGCCTGGCGACTCACGCGGCTCAGCTTGGCCCCATTGCTGTTCGGATAGGAGGCATTGATGGTCGACTCGATCTCGCAGAGCATGTAGCGGGCGCTGACCAGCAGGTCGTGCAGCTCCTTGGTCACGGCCTCGTTGAGACTCTTCTGCTGGTCCTTGCGGAACTTGTACTGCGCCCGTCCCAGATACGAGAAGCTGCCCACGAAGGTCTGCATGTGGCGGTACCAGGTCTTGAGCTTCACCTGTAAAGAAAGGAGGCTACTTAGTTTGTTTGCTTGGCTTGGCTTGGCTTGGCTTGGGTTTTTGTTTCAGTTTCAGATGCTCTGAAGCTCTGATGCTCTGGTGCTCTGGGAAGGGCATGCAAATGAGGCGGGCCCGGACATGGCGAAACTGGTCTGTGCCGCCCAGGGCGGAGCAGGTCCGCTTCTGTCTCAGAATCAGAATCAGTCGCAGACGCAGCCTCAGTTGCAAACTCAGACTCAGTTCGCAGCTCATCAGTCAAGATCCAACACTTACCGCACTCGTGGGCTTCGTCATGTTCGGCAGGAACTTGTACTCGCGCTGAAAGTGCTGGTGGTTGCCATACTCCAGCGTGGCGCGGTGGGTAATGTCTTGGTACTCGCTCATCGTGATGTTCCGCAGGTTTTCGAGGTGCTGCAAAGAGTAAGGGGCAGGGGGCATCGATGAGTAATGCATCTCCGCAGAGTGACAAAATATTCGTTCTCCTTAACTTAACTGGTTAAGTAGTCATATCAAGGCTATAAAGCTCACCCACTTCTTGTATTTAATCTTGACCTAACAAATGTAAATGCTCTGGCATTTATAGTAAAAATCATTTTAAGAAAAAGAAAACCCAAGAAAAATGTAACTTTAAGTTAAAATTCTATAACTCAATTCATTTCACGATGAGTAATGCATCTTTTTGTTCTTTCTCTTCGATTATACTTGTTGAATAGCTATAAAACCATCCACCATCGCATTTTTGTTATATCTTAATTGGATTGTCATCGCTTTAAAAGCAAATGGAGTTTTGTCTTGCATTTATACATTTTTTTTATCATTTTTACAAAGAGGAAACCCTAGCAGTTATAATTGTAATTAAAAACAATTGTAATTAATAGTAATTAATTAATTATTTGTAATGTAAAACATGTCTATTCAAATGGAGTTTTTACATTTTGTTAAAATTTTTTAAAAAGAAAATCCCACTAGAAATGCGATTTTAATTCTTCTGCTTGAATTCCCATTCCCATTTGATTACTATTAATTTTTTTTTATTTTTTAAAGCCTGTCAATCAAAAAATTGTTTGTGAGTTGATACATTTTTTATCATTATGAGACAAGTTAACCCCTTAATAATTGCAATTTCTAAGTTTAATTTTCTAAGTCTATAAGCACTATTCATTACTTTTGCTTGACTACTATTTGTTTTTTTTTTTTATAATTATCCATAAAATATTTAAGTATTTATGCATTTCCCTCTCAATTTGTGACTAGCTTTGGTTGATATTTTTGTTTAATTTAATAGCTGTAATTACCTTGCGCTTGATCACGCGTCCCTGGCTGGCACTGCTGTCGCTGAGGCTCTCGTCCGGCGTGTAGGTGCCCCCGCAGGGGTTCTCCCACTCCGGGATCTCCGGCCTGCTGCCGGCGAAGAGGCGGAGATTGTGGCTGCGGGCGTGCCGCGTCCGCTGGCGGCGCAACTCCTTCCTGGCTGCCCGCATGGTGGCCTGGGCGATCTCCTCGTAGCTGCTCTCGCTCAGACTGAGATCGCTGTCGTAGCTGCCCTCGCCGAAGCTCTCGGACAGGCCGTGATAGGGATCGAAGTTGAACACGGGCAGGACATCGCCCGCCGAGGACGATGATGATGAGGACTCATCGTAGGCATAGTCCAGAGCCAGATGGCGGGCCTGTGTGTGTGGCAGCACAACGGCCAGGATCATGATGGCCATCAGCAGCCGAAGGCTGTGGCAGCTCCACTGCGTGCGTTGACTGCTACTGCTACTGCTGCTTGGGCTCTCTGTGCTGACTGCAAGGAAAGGCAGAGAGGAAAATGCATTAGTCAGGAAGGAGGAGGCAATGATGACCATGATGACCATGATGACCATGATGGTAATCCCGGGCGTACCGTTTAAGGTGAAGGCTGGCATTGATCCGGTAGGTGGCTAACAGGCACGCACACTCACTCACTAACTAACTAACTAACTAACTAACTAACTAACTAACTTGGCTAACTTGGCTAACTTGGCTAGCTGGCTGGCTAACTGCGCGGTCTCTCCTGCTCGACGGCTGCTGGCTAAGTGACTGCCGCTGCAGCGGCGTTCGAAAATTTTAAGCCGTCCGTCGCTCACGCACTCCGTCGTCGTCGTCACTCCGATCATTTCGACTCATTCTTTGGTGTGTCTCAGTGTCTCAGTGTCTCAATCACGGAATGCCAATCGATCGAGCGAGAGAGTAATTGTGAGTGTTAGTGTGAGTATGAGTATGAGTATGAGTGCAATTACAGCAGCCTGAGCAATTTTGTTTTTGAAATTATTTTGAGCATTTGTCATGCTCTCGAAATCGAAATCGACATCGAACTCACAATCGCTTTCATCTCTCTCTCTCTCTCTCTCTCTCTCTATCTCACACTCTCACTCTCACTCTCTCTCTCTCTCGCATTCAGCCACTTTTGGGTGAATTTCACCAGAAATATTACTCATAGGCATTTGGGTTTTTTTTTTTGCGCCACCAGACGACCAGACGAGTGCCAGACGTCGGCGGAGTCTGCGGCACAATGTGCTGACGTAGTCCGCAGTCAGTAGCCAACTCTTTGAATAATCCAAATTCCCACTCAGTTATTTAGCCATTCAGCTGAGCGGCTGAACGCTCTCGACCAATCGCCGAAGTCGTTGTTGCCGTAGGTCAGCGACTTGATAACGCTTCGTCGACTGCACAGTGCCAACTGCCAGCTGCCAGCTGCTCTGCCCGCTGTTCAGCCGACTGCTCTGCCGACTTCGATAAGGCACGTGCTGCCCAGCCTAGTTGTTGTTGTTGACGTTGTTGTTGTCGTTGTTGTTCGACGGACGATCAGCTGGCCAAGGCCATAATCACTAATTGGACGGTAATCGAGATATTGGAAAGTTCTGGTTCTGGTTCTCATTCTGGACTTCATGATGATTAATACCCATGTGATAGTAGTGACTGCTTTACGATCCCTAATTTTTTTTTTTTTTTTTTTTTTGGGCCAGCGAAAGTGGAGGCAGGAACTCGAACTCGAACTCAAACTTGAACTCATGTGAGCTGATCGCTGATCGCTGATGGCCAGATTAGATCGCAGCTGGAGAGGATTGCACGCGAGCGATTGGCCTGGTCATGTGAGGGATTTTCAGCGTGATGGTGAAACAAATGCGGATGGGAGTTATCAGAGCCATAAATATGTGTGGCAGGAATAATTTGAAGTGTTGGAACTCAAATTGATTTGCAATTAATCGAACTTTAATCGCTATTTTTGGCTCTAATTTTTCCTCTCTACTATCAGAACTTTAATTGAACTTCTTTTGGCGGCAATCGCACCCCCTCCCACTTCATTCCACTTTACTAGCCAATAGTATTTGGCATTAGCGTCGAAGCGTCGATTATTAACAGTTCGATCACTTGCCGTCCGGAAAGGGGGATTCACCCAAGACACAGAAGAGACACTAGTACCCTAGTACCCTAGTACACTGGTACTCTGACGCACACACAACACACACACACGCAGCATTAATCATGGGAACCGATCGAAGTTATTCCGTAATGGGGTAGCCAGACCAGCTAGCAAATCATCTTTTTATATAGCCAGTGGCGAAAGACAGGGAAAGTTATCTGTTTTTTTTTTTTTTTTTTTGCTTTTTTCGGGGCTCTGGGAAAGCGGTGATCTAATTGTTTGGCCCACAAAAACAAACAAACAAAACAAAAGTGGCAGACTTTGCACCCCCTACTTACTGTGATGTTGCATTTTCGGGGCTGGATCACGTTCTATTTTGGCACCGTCCATCGGGGAATACTGTGTGGGGTCTGGATTAATACTGAAGTACGTTGATGTGTTAATGTTCACTGCAGAGATCAGGCTTCGACTGTCTCGCATTCACTGCGTTAGTTCAACTTAGTTGTAAAGTGTGTGTTGCACTGGTGTGTGTCGCGGGTGGTGTGTGCCGGGACAATTAGCATTGGCGTGTGTCTAAGCGAAACTGATTCATGGTCTCGGGCCGTCGCATAATTTTATATTTATACGAAAATCGCCGGCCGCCTGTGGGGCAGTCCCAGTCGCAGTCGCCGTCGCTGCCTCAGTCGCCGCTGAAGCAACGGAGCCATGGAGCCATGGAGCTCCTCTGCTTTTAGTGCCGCTTCTGCTCCTGCTATCTCCCAGTCGGAGCAGCGCTGTCGTCGACGCCGTCGCAGTCGCAGTCGACGCCGGCGTGGACGTCAATGAAGTCAACGAAGTGCCGTCGTGCGAAAGAATCGCAATCGGAATCGGAATAGGAATCGAAATGGGAGTCAGAAGTGCGCGCCACGCTTATAATTATTATTGGATTTGATTTGATTCGATTCGATGATTGCCCGAGCAGCGGACAGAGCGGTCGAGCGGCAGAGCGGCAGAGCGGCAGAGTGCGGCAAAGCTCCCCCCCCCGTAACTGAGTTATTTATTTTTATATTTGCACATCGTATTTACTTTTCATCAATTACGTATGTGCCGTTGGAGGTCCGTTAGGTGTTGTTTGGGAATGGGATTGGGATTGGGCCACCACCACCCTCCGCCAGTGGCTCCCACACAACTCTTTGCCAGGGGATTTTTCTTGGAAGCAAAGTGGTGTGCGTACATGTGTCTCATTATGTACACCTTCACTTCGTCGTTGTCTGCCATTGAGGTTTTTGTTTGCGTCACAACACAACACAATCCAACACAACACAACTCCCCCTACATGCCTCTGGTCAGTGATTGTGATGGGCGTGGCAATGCGAAATTAATTGCATTGAATGAGGACCGGGTTTAAAAATAATGTTTTTAAGCACGGGGAATTTTTTCGGCTGTGGCCGAGAGGCCATGGGAAATCTTGGACGCGACAATGGAGAGATCTCTGGGTCGATCTTCCACATGTCCATCCACATGGATGCCTCCTCCTCCGCAGTCCCCATTAGTAGATCCACATGCGATGGAAGTGGTGATAACGGTCTAAGCGCTCAAAACAGGTTGACTTGAACAAAAAGCAGTTCAGAATGGGTGTTTGAAAACACGCTTGCTATTGGAGAATCGGAAAAGCCTTGGGACAAACTAATGGGTACATTTTATTAGTTGATAGATTTAAAATTAATTTGAAATTAATTTGGTATATCACAAATAACAACCTTCTTACTTACCCCTACTTACTTATGTTTAAGTGAGTCCAAACTAAGAAAATATATTTTATCTGTATAAAATTCTATTACATATAAATTGATAAACTCAGATATTATTCTTCTTTTTTCTTAACTCCTACATCACACTTAATCATTTAGTCAAAAACAAAATTTATCACGTAAAATCTATAAACATTGGGTGACACTAGGGGTAGATATTAAAAACTTTGCTTTCAATCCATTCAACTTTCAACACTCGACCAAGGTCAGTCACGTTCTGATTCTCTGGCACGCATTTCACTCGGAAACTTTCCATTTGATCGGAAATTAGATCATTTGCCCAAAGCAATGCCAACTGACGCACTTTGTCTTTTTAGCTGGACATCGAACTGCGAATGGACTCGTCCATGGCCCATGCGATAGCTTTATAGTCCAGTTTCTTGGCCGGTGCTCCAGTATCTCGACAAGATTTACGATCGTCGGATCCTCTGGGAGTCTCCTCAAACCGGCACCTGGCCAATTCCCAGATATCTGTTGCGTGATATCACGATCCCCGAACCGGAGTGATCTTCGCACCCAAACAACACTCATCCCTCGTGTTGTGATCGGTTGCACGCGTGAAAATCAGTGCATGACTTGCTGACGCCTTCCCCAAAATTTGTGCCAAACATATTTACCGAGGGTCTTGAGTCCATGAATGACGCGTTTTTTTTTACTTTGGCTTGGAACCGATAGCGATAAGGTCGCGTGGAAAACTTTTAACAGTCACAGTGGGATGACATCGGACAGGAGCTGGCAAACCCACCGATTGGTGGGTTGGTGGCCCTTTTGTGGCCTTTTTCGCCCACTGTGGCCCAATTGGAAGGCTTATTACATTGAAGGCGTGCGGGCGGGCGGTTACTAAAAGTTTTGATTCACTACTCGGTTAACAGTAATTGATCGAACTTTTCCACTGAACTCTTATCGCCACGCGTCGTCAGAGGTTGAACTTTGAGGCGTCGTCGGCCAGGGAATTCACCTCGCAGTCGCAGCCAATTGTCTTCGGTGGGTGTTGACTAATGCCGTTCCATGAATGAATAATCAAGACTGGCGCCCCGCCACCCCAGATACCCAAAAAGAAGCAGACACCCAGATACCCATATGCCCATATATCCACCACCATCGATGGATATCCATGAATGGGCTGACTCACCAGCAGTTCTTCGGCTGGAGCTCGCTCTATAGTATAGTACCGACCACAATTGGCTTACTAGATCAATCAATAAAATATTAGTGGGGTTCTTGTATCTTGTAGTTGTGTATAAAGATATGGTTAGCTAAGGCAAGTAATCATCAAACTGCTTGAGATGCCAAATTCTTGAGACTTCTGGGGGTTCAAAACTATGTATCATATCAGTGATAAAAATAGCAGTACTAAATATAATTGCCTTACATTTTTAGAAATATCTTAATTTCTTTAAGAAATATACAAAATGAAAGCCTTGTAATAATCAAACGTTATATTTGCAAACAAAACCGATTTTCTGATTTAGAGAAACAAAACAAAGAAATTAATATTATTATTAATAGCAGGTTTCAAAATATGTTTACATTTTTTGACAGAGCTTAAATTATTTATAAAATCTAATAATAAAATGACGAATAAACTTGAAAGTTATCAAGCTTCAATTTTAGAATTTAGAATTACTAAGCCTATTATCATATAAAGATAAATTTAAACCTTAATCAAATTAAGTTGAAACTCTAACAGTTGTGTTGGGCAGCTTGCTACATCTACATTTTTCTTGCCAGCTCTTAGATTTAACCATAGATAAGCAAACTATAAATAACTAAAGAAACCAAACACATAATTAAATGTTAGGGAATGCCTTTGCAAGGTTGCTGGTAACTAGGACCTTCGACTCAGGCCATGAATGATTATTT